ATATATATATATATATATATATATATATATATATATATATATATATATATATATATATATATAGATATATATATATATATATACATATACATACATACATACATATTTTTAAAATTACTTGTTTGTTTATTTATCTATTCGTGTGTATTTGTGTGTGTATGTTTGTGTGGATTGGTATGCATGTATGTTTCGGTATATTATATTCTCTCTTCTTCCCTCTTCCTCATGGCCTTTCTTCTCTCCGTCTCTTTCCTTCCTCCTCTCTCTTTCCTCGGACCTTGCCTCCCAGCTCAGTTATAATGAGTCGGTGGGAGTCCGTGAGGTCTTGCTTGTGCCCTGCCGCAGGTGCTGTACCTTCGAGGGGGGGGGGGGGAGTGGGTAGAGAGAGGGAGAGGGAGAGACAAAGAGAGTGGAGGAGAGAGAGAGATATAGAGCATGAGAGAGAAAGAGATAATGAGAAAGAGAGGAAGAGAGAGAGAGAGAGAGAGAGAGAGAGAGAGAGAGAGAGAGAGAATGAGAGAGAGAGAGAGAGAGAGAGAGAGAGAGAGAGACGAACAGACAGACAGACAGACAGAGATAGAGATAGAAAGGGAGAGAGGAGGGCGGGTAGATGAGAGAGGAGGAAATGGCGAGGAAGTGATGCCGAGTGACAAGAATGTAGTAGATATACGACTGGGTAGACGGACAGGTAGATAAATCAACTGTCAGGCTGGTGGAGAAACCATCATTCTTCAGGAGGAGGGAAGTTGGAGGCTGGAAGAGAAAATTAGTGAAGTTCGAGATGAGCGAGGAGATTGAGAGAGAAATTATGAAACCAGAGAGGAACCTGAGAAAGGGACAGCGAGAGAGACAGAGAGAGATTGAAAGAGAGAACTATAGAAAGAGAGAGAGACCGGGGCAGACCAGAGAGGAACCAGAGAAAGGGACAGCGAGAGACAGAGAGAGACAGAGAGAGATTGAAAGAGAGAACTATAGAAAGAGAGAGAGACCGGGGCAGACCAGAGAGGAACCAGAGAAAGGGACAGCGAGAGACAGAGAGAGACAGAGGAGATTGAATAAGTGATATGGATATAGAGAGAGAAATGGGCAGACCAGAGAGGAACCAGAGAAAGGGACAGCGAGAGACAGAGAGAAAGAGAGAGGAGATTGAATAAGTGATATGGATAGAGAGAGAGAGACAGAGGCAGACTAAACAGAGGGAGAGAGAAACAGCGCAAGGAGGTAGAGAGCTCGGCCGTGGACTACAGCGAGCTATTGAAAGGTTAACGCGGGCAAGAGACAGAAATAAACGTACGCATGAAATACCTAAGAGGTTCCCCGAGAGGAGGAGGCACAGCAGAAGGAGGAATAGGAAGAGGAAGAGCAGGAGAAGTAGGAGCAGGAGAAGTCGGAGAGGTGGAGGAGGAGGAGGTCTGGCCAGGCCCTTTGGTCTGATTCAAACAAACTGGGAATGTCAACGGCTGATTGGAATCGGATGTGAATGGAGCATCATTTCCTTCTGGGATTTCCCCTTCCATTAGGTCTGGTGGGGGGGAGGGGGAGGGAGGATGAGGGTAATGATTATGATGATGATGGTAATGATGACTGTAGTGGTTGTTATGGTTACGGTGGTGCTACACTTTTTCTTTCAAGTATGAGATGATGTGATTTGCGAAAAGTGTCGTGTGCTTCAGAGACGTTCCTCGAGACGAACGTTTAAACCTTCTTTGTCTTCTCCGTTCTCTCTAACCCCGTTTGCTTTAGACCTTAATCTCTACCTGTTCGCGAGACTCAATAGATTCATACCTTAAAGGAAAATACCAAAAATGGTAATGGTAGATAAAGGAATAGATGTAGGTCTAAAGCAAAACGAGGAATAGATGTAGGTCGAAAGGAAAACGAGAAATAGATGTAGGTCGAAAGGAAAACGAGGAATAGATGTAGGTCGAAAGCAAAACGAGGAATAGATGTAGGTCTAAAGCAAAACGAGGAATAGATGTAGGTCGAAAGCAAAACGAGGAATAGATGTAGGTCGAAAGCAAAACGAGGAATAGATGTAGGTCGAAAGCAAAACGAGGAATAGATGTAGGTCGAAGGCAAAACGAGGAATAGATGTAGGTCGAAAGGAAAACGAGGAATAGATGTAGGTCGAAAGCAAAACGAGGAATAGATGTAGGTCGAAAGCAAAACGAGGAATAGATGTAGGTCGAAAGCAAAACGAGGAATAGATGTAGGTCGAAAGCAAAACGAGGAATAGATGTAGGTCGAAGGGCAAAACGAGGAATAGATGTAGGTCGAAAGCAAAACGAGGAATAGATGTAGGTCGAAAGCAAAACGAGGAATAGATGTAGGTCGAAAGCAAAACGAGGAATAGATGTAGGTCGAGAGCAAAACGAGGAATAGATGTAGGTCGAAAGGAAAACGAGAAATAGATGTAGGTCGAAAGCAAAACGAGGAATAGATGTAGGTCGAAAGCAAAACGAGGAATAGATGTAGGTCGAAAGCAAAACGAGAAATAGATGTAGGTCGAAAGCAAAACGAGAAATAGATATAGGTCGAAAGCAAAACGAAGAATAGATGTAGGTCGAAAGCAAAACGAAAAATGAG